CTTATATCATCACAAGGTCCCAAAATAGGCTGTCTGCAAGCTTGAGGAGCAAGGAGAGCCAGTCTGAGTCTCAAAACTGAAGAACTTGGGAGTTCGATGTTTGAGAGCAGGAAGAATCCAGCAGGAGAGAAAGATGTAGGCTGGGAGCCTAGGCCAGTCTCCTCCTTTACATTTTTTTTTTCTGCTTGCTTTATATTCGCTGAGAGCTGATTAAATTGTGCCCACCAGATTAAGGGTAGGTCTGCCTTCTCCAGTCTGTTGATTCAAATGTTAATCTCCTTTGCCAGCACCCTCACAGACACACCCAGGGGATCAATGCTTCGTATTCTTCAATCAAGTTGTCACTCAGTATCAACCATCACATAGGCATATACAAAGGAAAAGAAGTCATTATTTCAAAAATATACCTGCACTCATATATTTATTGTCACACTATTCACAATAGCAAAGACACAGAATCAATCTAAATTTTTATCAAAAGAGGATTGGATAAAGAAAATATGGTATACCATGGAATACTAGTCAGCCATAAAAAGGATAAAATCATGTCTTTTGCAGCAACACGGACAGAACTGGAGGACATTACCCTAAGTGAAATAATTCAGAAACAGAAAATGAAATGCCACATGTTCTCACTTGTAAGTGAGAGCTAAACAATGGGTAAACGTGGACATACAGAGTGGAATAATAGACACTAAAGACTCCAAAAGGTGGGAGGATGAGAGGGAGATGAAGGTTGAAAAATTACCTTTTGGATACAATGTTCACTATTCAGGTGATGGGTGTACTAAAAACCCAGACTTCAATACGCATGTAAGAAATCTGTGCTTGTACCCCCTAAATATACAAAAATGTTTGAAAGTTAAAAGAAGCAGTTTAAAAAAATGTGATCACATTTTCTTAGCTGGAATTCACACACACATACACACATAAATCCTTTGAGGTCCACAAGGCAGGAAACCTAGAACTGTTAACTTGTTCAAGATGACACTGCCATTAGGTGATGGGGCCAGGACTAGAGTCCAGGTTTACCAAATCCTAGTCTATAGAATTTGCCAACATATCACATTGTCAGAGCTTAGTACATGATAAAAGCTTACATTTTAGTTCCCTCCTCCATTTCTTTCTCTCACGTCACCTCTCCTGACCATAAAAATGACCCACCCCCCCG